AAAAACAAAGAGTCCATCCCCTCCAGCAAAAAATGTAAGTATAAATCTAACCTCGGACTAGTTCCAGTAAATTTAATGATACTTTTATTGTTGATTCTTTGCTGATGAAAAATTAATTGTGGGGTTCAGGGCTTTGCAAGAGGAGGAAATAAAGATAGCGAAGGAAGCAATCAAGCATGCTATCAAAGCCCTTCGAAGAAGGCATTTGGTGGAAGAAGCAGCTCATTCCCCGGCTTTCATCGCCCTTTCTAAGCCTCTTCTTTCTCAGGTACTATCAATCCCCACCTCCCCAATTCGAATTCTTGATATTTGACTTGTTTATTTAGTTTTATATAGTTTTTTTTTTTTTAAGTTTCAGTTGATCCTCTGTTATTTCTTGTGCAAATTAGTTTGGGCTAAAAATAGTGATAAGAAAAAGGGAAATGATGAACAAAAATCTTTCATCTCCAAAACCCAGGAACTAATTTTCTCTAATAGTGATGGTAGGGGATCTTCTTGCTTGAGTGCAGGCATTTAGGTGGTTTTTGGCATTGTCACTTTACTTGAGTTTTACCGATCATAAGGGTCAGGCATCTAGCTTTCGAGGAATTTTGTTGCATATTGATTGGAATATGGTGCCTAAAGTTGTTAGTTTATGGCATTCTAATTGTATAATAATACCTCATTGAGAGTTTTCATCGTGCTTTATTAAAATTTGGATTGAAGTTAGATGGTCTTGCTTGTTAACAATCTGATAGGGAGAGTTGGTCGTATCTGTACTTGTTTTCGGCGTTTTGTTGGACATTAGATGTCTGGATTGAATCGTTAAATTTGCTTCTGAAGGGCTCAGAGTGGAAAGAGAAAGCTGAAAATCTTGAAGTGGAACTTCAGCAGTGTTATAAAGCTCAGGCTCGATTGTCAGAGCAGCTTGTGGTGGAAGTGGCTGAATCAAGAACTTTTAAAACTGCAATTCAAGAGAAAGATGCCATTATAGCTGATCTACAGAGTGAGCTTGCAAAAGCAAGGTTTATCTGCTGTCCGAAATATGAAATCAGTTTGCATTTATAGAATGGAAAATCTGAATTAGATAACCACTTTCTCAATTAAGGATTATAAGTTGGAATTTCAGGAACTGTGTGGTGAATGAAGTTTCTTAAATTGCAGGGATGAATGTTCAGATTTGAATACACTCTTAGAAGAAAAGACTAAAGCTCTAGAACTCATGATAAGTGAAAACCAGGTTCTTAAAACACAACTTGAAGAGGCAAAAGCTAGAGCGGACAAGTTTGAAGCAGAGAATAAGATGCTAATTGATCGATGGATGCTGCAGAAGATGCAGGATGCTGAACGCCTTAATGAGGTAAGATGACTTTTTTCTGGTTAATGCATTTGCTTGGCTCTTCTTCTTCTTCCTGGATGTACGTGCTTGATTCTACTTTGGTAGTGACTTGAGCAATATAATTCAGTTCACTTTGCTGGCAGAACTAAAATCATATTCCCCCACCCCCTGAAGCTTCATTTTAAATTTTGTTGAAAAGAGTCCTTACGGTCGCCAAGGTACACAAGCTTGGTGGTAATTACATCATTCTTATTACATAATATCTGCTGTTCTTTTATGAATTTCAACCTATGCACACATTGACTACCATATGTCAGATATGATTGGTAAATGCACGATTTTCACTTACCTGATACATGCAAAACTAATTTTATTTACTTAATGCATGTTAAATAGGGTTTGCATAAGAGCATTATGGTCTTTGTACTGAAACATATAATTCAAATGTTAGCTATTTATGCGTATCTATATATGATTGGTGATCTATTGATCTGTTAGGCTAATGCAATATATGGAGATATGCTAGACCAGGTGAATAATAGCAGCATAGAACAGCTGGCTCGTCAACAAGTAGATGGTGTGGTCCGCCGAAGTGAAGAGGGTGCTGAGTACTATGTGGAGTCAAGTATTCCCAATATGTGTAAGCAACGGATCCCTGGACATGAAGGTGGCTGTGGTACTATAGCATTTGAGTACAACTCCACCAAATTGATTAGTGGAGGGCAGGACCGAGATGTGAAAATGTGGGACACAAACACTGGTGCACTGGTGCGCACTTTTGAAGGTTGTGTGGGTTCTGTTCTTGATCTTTCTATCACCCCTGATAACAGAACCATCATAGCTGCTAGTGGTTCAAAGAATTTAGTTGTCTGGGATGCAAGTTCAGCCAGAACACGCCATACTCTCACAGGTCATATGGAGAAAGTAGTTGCTGTAGATGTTAGTAAAATTTCAAGTCGCCATGTTGTGAGTGCAGCTTATGATCGTACCATAAAAGTTTGGGATCTGCAGAAGGGTTACTGTATTAACACAATTCTCTTCCCCAGCAATTGCAATGCGCTGACTTTTAGCATAGATGGACAAACTATCTGTTCAGGTCATGTAGATGGAAATCTTCGGCTGTGGGATATACAAACTGGTAAACTTTTGAGTGAGGTTGCAGCACATTCACTTGCTGTTACATCACTATCTCTATCTCGAAATGGTAACACAATATTGACAAGTGGCAGAGACAACTTGCACAATTTATTCGACATGCGGACCCTTGAAGTTTGTGGCACATTCAGAGCAAATGGCAACAGAGTTGCATCTAATTGGAGCAGATCCTGTCTCAGTTCAGATGACAATTATGTTGCTGCTGGATCTGTTGATGGATCTGTTCATATTTGGTCAATATCAAATGCTAAAATTGTAAGCACTCTAAAGGAACATACAACTTCAGTTCTTTGTTGTTCATGGAGTGGCTTTGGAAAACCACTAGCAACATCTGATAAGAATGGTTCTATCTGTATATGGACATGATAGGAAGCAAGTTATTTGTACATTTGTATTTATATGATGTCTTCTCCTTCCTTCTGTGGTCTATACCTACTGTACAAATGTACATTTGTACATTTGAAATGTATATCATGCCTAAAGCTCAAACCGAAACCACTTTGATTTTGCTGTAAACATGTATTTCTTTGCCCAGTTTTGTTTAGCGCTGTGATTTTCTTTTAGTTAGTAAACACAAGGTAATTTGTTTTCATTTGGCCTTTGGGCTAGGACACGTTAAAGACAGTTCGAGATCTTTATTAACTTATTCTTTGCGAAAGTGGTGATTAAGTGAAAAATGGTTATCTGTATCAGATTGCATTAAAAATAAATAATTAAAAATGGTTTATAACATCTCTACCAAAGAAGCATCATCCCAAGAACTTTCCTCATTAATTCTAAAGGCAAAACAAATCCTCCAAGAGTGCTACTAATTGCTAATATTGCACACTTCATTTGACGGTTCAAACCCTGCTGCCAATAGGGCTGGACTTTGAATCTGGATCTAATATGTATCTATATCCGGACGGATGGTAACACCTTCTAGATATCCACATTTGACTCTAGCATTTGGATCTTAATCCATCCATAATTACAAGAAGACTTCGGAGGGAAAATGGGAGTTCTAACTGAACCCTAATTGAAATGGGGACATTGATTTTTGATTTTTTTTTTGCTATATATATTCTTACTTTTATACTAACGAGGTGATTTCTGGGCGGGCGAGCAAAGTCGGCAGCACGAACTCACCTGTTGAAACATAAGAGCGTGCGGGGTCTTATACCCGATCCCACTCCAATGCTGAAGTCAGTTATGAGTCGAAAGTTACAAATAAAACCAATTAGATTGGAGTTTTTGCATACCTTATTCATAAATAGTAGAAGGGTATTTATAGTAGAGAGACCTATAGGAGGAATGATGAATTTTACTCCTTGTCAACTGTAGCACGACAGTGTAGGGTGGCGGTGTCAGAAGTAGGCCTGGACAAAAGGGCGGCGGTGGTGATATCAATTTGTCAGGTATCAGTCAGTTTTGCCTGTGAGCATCATATGTCAAGGCGAATTGAATGACCATGCTCGAGGGCGAAGCTGAATCGATAAACTGAGACAATACTTATCTCGGAAAGGCGAAGATGAGATGCGTTCTAACGCTAAGGAACCGAGGTAATCACCTCGGCATTGAAGATCCGAAAAGGGCCGAGGTGAGCGCCCACATATACTATGGGAGAACGGGTGAATTTAAAATCAGATAAGTCAAAAGTTAGCTTAAAGGAGATTAAGTCATCTTTAAGCTAAAATGGTACATTTGAGCAACTTTTGGATTAACTGCAAATCAGGAAATTTGATCCTTCAATCTATATACTAAACTACGAACTTTTACGGGAATTATAATTGAAGTTTTTCTTGATTTCTTGATGTTGATATCCCAAAATGAGTCCAAGACTTCAACATCCAAATTTGGTGGGAATTACAATTTTAAAAAAAAATTTACTAGGGCACGAGATGACAACATCAAAATATCATCACAAGAGCTGACTTACAAGGAAAACTTCCCATAGTTTGAATTACATTTGTTGCATCCAGTCTTTCATAAAGAAAAAAAGTTTTACTTTTTTACGACAAGAAAGCAACACTCAATACACTCCTCATTTCCTTCCATAAAGTTACCAAAATGGAAGAATTTTTACAAAAATTGGAATAACTTATGCTGTTTTCTTGCATATATGCTAAATTTACCCTTTCATGAAGAAAAAGATAACAGTTCTTAAAAGTTATACCATGACCATGACTACCTTTACAATTAATTTAGTGTTTTTTGTTACATGCTAATTTTTCATTGAGTAAAGTAGAGACCTTTTTTCACTTCAGAGGGTAAAATCCAAAATTCCGGAATTACCCCTCCTCAAACACCCCAACCCTCTCAAGGTGAACAGCCCGGTAACTCGTAACATTCTAATTTCTTGCTGCTGTAAATCCTCGCTATTTCCCTCTTCCAACTTCCAAATCAAAAAAAGAAACCTCAACTGGTATCCATTGTATCAACCCCTCTTCCTCTCTTACGCCATAGCCCCGCTATGGTAACACTAAGAATTCACAGTATAATGTAAGCACAACTAAAACCCTTCAACCTTTTGCAGTTTGCCTATAAAAATTCACTTTGATAAAACTTTATCTCTCTCTCTCTCTCTCTCTCTCTCTCTCTCTCTTCTTCTGATATTTTTCTTTTTCTTGTTTTGGGTTTAGGCCTGAACCAGAGGACGATATAGTAGTAACAAAAGAAGCAATCAAGCAAGCTATCACGGCTCTTCGAAAACGGCATTTAGTCGAAGAAGCCGCTCATGCTCCAGCTTTCCTCGCTCTTGCTAGGCCGATTCTTTCTCAGGTACTTGCCGGCCGACCCCGTTATTCAATTTATATTTTTTTGCTTCTTTTAGCTAGCTTGGTTTTTGGATAATCTCCCTGATTCGTCTGATATTCAACTTGATTGCTACTGTTAATACTGATTTTCTTGGTTGTGAACTAGTTTTAAGATCAAAGCATTCGGGGCCCCTTTAACTATTTATAGCATTCTTGACTTGCCTGCCATGTTAACTTGCTTAAAAATTAATTGTTTTTATTCTTTATTTAATTTTCATTGATTATTTTGAGTCGTCGCTTTAAGTTGTTAAGTTGTATATTTGTTTAGACTGCACAGTGAGGCAGTAATAACTTTCAGAAGATTACAACTTTATGACATGAAAGATGCAAGTGGATATGTTTATTTTCCTTGACGAAATTGCAAGGTTGCAGCAAGATATGAGGAGCGTGATATGGGGCAGAATTTGCTTTAAACTTGACTATTTATTAGGTTTGCAACTAAAGTCTTCATGGGTTTATGGGATTGTTTGACAATGCTGTGTATATTCTTCATTTGTTTTCATGGATTCTTATATGACAATGCTGAGTACTAGTATTCGTCGAGGGCTTTGGTTTTGTGTATGCTTTGAATATTTCAGAATTTGATGAGTAGAAATCTGATAGAAAGTGTTGCTGTTGTGAATACTTGTCCTTGGCATTTCACTAGACATTGGATATCTTGATTGACCTCGTTGATATGTGGCACCGAAGGGCTCAGAATGGAAAACGAAAGCTGAAAATCTTGAATTGGAACTTCAGCAATGTTATAAAGCTCAAGCTCGATTGTCAGAGCAGCTTGTGGTCGAAGTTGCTGAATCCAGGGAGTCGAAAACATTGGTACAGGAGAAAGAAGCCCTTATCACTGATCTAGAAAATGAGCTTGCACAATCGAGGTGTTATCGACCACCCAATTTGGATTTTTCTGTTTCCCATGTCAAGATATGATACTAAAGATTTTAGTTATTTTATGGCGACTGAACTTTCTTTAATTACAGGGAGGAATGTTCTCGTTTAAACGCACTCTTAGCAGAAAAGACTGAAGCTCTAGAACTTATCATGACTGAGCACAATGATCTGAAAATACAACTTGAAGCAGCAACTGTTAGAGCTGATGATCTTGAAGCAGAAAACAAGACGTTAATTGATCGATGGATGCTGCAGAAGATGCAGGAAGCTGAACACCTGAATGAGGTACAAGCATCATTTTCTTTTTAATATATTGCCTGTAATTTTTTTTTTATGTTGGAATTAAGAAATTGAAGGAAGTCTCATAGTCCTAACATGGATAAGTAAGAAGTATAACATTTACATGTCAGCTATGGTGCCTGTTGAACATGATGAATTCTCCCTTTTTTTTTTTGGTTAGGCAGATGCCACGTTTGAAGATATGATGAACAAAATGAAGGCTAGCAGTATCGAACAGCTGGCTCGACGACAAGTAGATGGTGTGGTCCGCCTGAGAGAGGAGGATGAGTACTGCATGGAATCAACTGTTCCCAGCATATGCAAGCGACAGATCTCTGCACATGACGGTGGCTGTGATGTTATAGTGTTTGAGCATAACTCCACCAAATTGATTAGCGGAGGGCAGGACCGAGTAGTAAACATGTGGGACACAACTACCGGGGCATTGGTGCGCACCTTTCATGGCTGTGTGGGCTCTGTTATTGATCTTTCTATCACCCATGATAACAGAACCATCATTGCTGCCAGTGTTTCCAACAACTTAGTTGCCTGGGATGTAAATTCGGGCCGAGCACGCCATACTCTCACGGGCCATGTAGAGAAAGTATGTGCTGTAGATGTTAGTAAAGTTTCAAGCCACCATGTTGTTAGCTCAGCTTATGATCGTACCATAAAAGTTTGGGATCTGCACACTGGTTATTGTATGAAAACACTTCTCTTCCACAGCAATTGCAATGCACTTTCTTTTAGCACGGACGGTCAAGCCATTTTCTCAGGTCATGTAGATGGATGTCTTCGGCTGTGGGATATCCAAACTGGTAAACTTCTGAGTGAAGTTGCAGCACATTCACTTGCTGTTACATCATTATCTCTATCCCATAATGGCAATCTAATATTGACGAGTGGGAGAGACAACATGCACAATTTATTTGACATGCGGAGTCTAGAAATCTGTGGCACGTTTAGAGCGAATGGCAGTAGAGTTGCTTCTAACTGGAGCCGATCCTGTCTCAGTTCAGATGACAATTACATTGCTGCTGGATCGGCAGATGGATCTGTTCTTATTTGGTCAACATCAAATGGTAGTGTAGTAAGCACTCTAAAGAAGCACAAAGGTTCAGTTGTCTGTTGTACATGGAGTGGCTTTGGAAAACCACTAGCTACATCTGACAAGAATGGTTCTATTTGCATATGGGCATGATAGGATAAGGACATTTTAATGTGCATATGGTAGGCCTTTTCATACTGGTTTACTACTTGATGCGTTTTATATCAGCATCCAGTCCATGTAAATTTCAACGAGAGAGAAATTTTCTCACTTCCTAAGTAGAATTGAGAGACTTCTGCTGGAGGTACAATTTTGTTGACTGACTCCTGATTTGATATTTATCTTGTGAAAAGTTCATTTTGTGCATAAAACTGTACATGCTTTATTATTATTATTATTATTATTATTATTATGTTGGATCTGTCGTACTCTTTTATTTTCTGACTATTGAAAGTGTGTCTTTAGTTCTGATTTGCTTAGAATATCCCTTCTTCTGATTTGCTTTGAGTCAAATGAAATCAGGAATATCATCTATTCATTTTGCAGTCTCCTACTTTTGGTCATACTTGTGGTTCCATATAATTTCACACTTAGCTAATCTTTTGCATTTTACCCTGTTGCCATATGACTTTCTACTTTTTGGATACAACTTGAGATGTTTTGAAGTTTTTTTCTTGTTTTTCCTTGGGATGGAGGAAGAATGGGGACAGCAGAATGGTATGATCAAGGGATTTTCTTTTTTCCTGTTCAAGTTCTTCTCTACCCCAACTCACTCAGTCACACACGCACACGCACAAACACAAGCACCAAAAATAAAAAATAAAAAAAAAAACCCACTTTAAAGAACCAAAAAAGGCAGAAAGGAGGAAAAGAAAAGTCATCCTAGTTCAAATTGCTGTACTTTTAATCCAATGAAGCAACAGTTTTCGTTGTTCAAACTGAAACAATAATTTCGTTTAAGGTTCAAAAAATTGCCTTAAACAAAATGCAATATATCATTCCTGGTTTATTTTAAGAGATGTTTATTTCGAGTTGTTATGTACTTCTGCTTGGTTTTCCTTGCCTTAGGGGTGCATGTACTTTGAGCTCCAATATAAAATTACCAGGTTTGAGAGCTAGTTTATCTTAATCGAGCCTTTGGAGCATGTATTTAAATTTTTTTTTTTGATACTTGTTCATGTGAAACTTTTAATACACCCTTCTTAAAGTATTTTAAATCTCATTATTTTGTATAATATGAAACCCATAAAATTTGAGATACAACTAAGTCTAAACTTGACTTTTAGAACAAACCAAACTTAAATCATCCAATTTTTTCTGTAAAGTAGGAGCTCAACTCTTAGAATTGGATGAGCTTTCAAATCGTACAATTTTTACTCAAACAGAACTCGAACAATTAAAAAAAAAGGATTATTATAATTTAGATTGACTGGATTATTTTCCTATTTAGTGCATAAAACTTCAATTGTAAACCTATAAACTGTACATTGAAGTATAATCGCCAAAAAAAAAAACAAAGTCTTTCTTAGTAATGGCCCAACAAGGAACTGCTGCTTCCTTGGGTCTGTTTCTACAATGCCTGGTTGGTTGAGCAATTTCCTGATCAAAGTAAAACGGGGAACAGTCTTACAATCATATTTTCGTTTGTGCTATATTAGAAGCCTTGAACATCAGTTTATAGCTCAACTACTGATAGGGTGTTAATTGTTAGCAATTTTATTGTTAATTTCCCCTGTTATCCTTGCCAAATATTGTTTTAAGTATTAATATTTACTTATATTTGGTATTGGACCCAATTTCAGGGATTGAAGCAGAAAATTACCAAAAAGGAGAGACTTGTATGGAAAAATGCAGACTTCTAAGGGCTTCAACCTTTGGATCCTTGAATTGGTGGGGACCACAAGTTAGTGCAAGGTATTTAGTCATTTGGGCATTTCAAAGAAAGCAACGTAGAGAGACTTGGAACAACAAGTACTTTGGAAGCTTTGTCCACATGTGCGGGGACCACGGATAAGAAGCATGAGTCATTTGGACTCTAGGAAAAGAAACGTACAAGACTTTGAATTTGGTGTGGGGACCACTAGAGATAGCATTACACTTCCTTTTGGCTTTAAAAAAAAGGGAAAAACGTACGAGAGGGGGAGGAATCAATAGTTTTAGTTTAGGCTTTTAGCATAGTTTTAGTTTTCTCTTCGGAGCTCTTCCGCATGGTTGTTCTCCATTAATGGAGGACTAACCTCTTAATTCTAGTCAAGGGGACAACTGAAGATTTGGTTCGACAATTACTGTGAGATCGACAATTACGGTAGTTGGAGTAACCGCCATGGTCAAATTTGGGTGTTCAATTGTTGTTCCCATGCTTGAGGGCAAGCATGATTTAGGTGTGGGGGGAATTGATAGGGTGTTAATTGTTAGCAATTTTATTGTTAATTTCCCCTGTTATCCTTGCCAAATATTGTTTTAATTATTAATATTTACTTATATTTGGTATTGGACCCAATTTCAGGAGTGAAGCAGAAAATTACCAAAAAGGAGGGACTTGTATGGAAAAATGCAGATTTCTAAGGGCTTCAATCCTTGGGCCCTTGAATTGGTGGGGGACCACAAGCTAGTGAAAGGCATTTGGTCATTTGGGCTTCAAAGAAAGCAACGTAGAGAGACTTGGAACAAGAAGTACTTGGGAGGCTTTGTCCACATGTGTGGGGACCACCTAGATAGCTTTTAGTCATCTTTCTTTTGTTGCTTTAAAAGGGGGACAACGTACAGAAGCAAGAGATATCTAGGGCTTTAGTTTTAGTTTTTTAGTTTAGTTCTAGTTTTCTTTCTTTGGACTGGCCTCTGACACACGCCAGGTATTCGACAATATTCCCCAACGGGGAGAGTTTCTCATGAGGCGTGGTTAAGCTTTTCTAGTCAAGGGGACAACTGACGATTTGGTTCGACAATTACTGTGAGATCGAATCTGTTTTAATTATTTTCTTCATTTATTGGTATTTACATGTTCCTTGATTTTAATTGCTATGGCCTTGTGTATGATTGATTAGTGCGCAATAATTAATTATTCATATAGGCTATTTTTGCTAAATAGGGGTAATTGAATCCGTAATTGTTCGTTATCTCTACCTCAGTAGCAACTGGCGTAATTGGGTTTATGTCAGGGGAGCATATGATCTAATTTAAACAAACCCTCGTAGCGTGTTTGTTGGTTAGGATTGGGTCTTTCTAATTATTAATGCAATCTAGAAATTAAATCCTACGGTCGTACCTAGGGTTATTTTTGGGTTAGAGAAATAGCTAACGGTCGTACCTTAGCTATCGAGAAATTAAGGAAGGGTTGGTTGTTTATCGCGTGCATGACAACTATAACTAATCTATTGCTAAATGTTGGAATTATTTCTGCATCAATGATCAGTGCATGAACAATTTCTGATGTGTACCCTTGGCTAGAGTTTCCCCTTAATTATTTCTTTGAATTAATTATTTCCTGCAGTTAACTTATTTAGTTAGCATTTAATCCAAAACCCCCCATACTCTGGACTCTAGAAGGAACGAGTTATCCCCAGTCCCTGTGGATTCGACCCTGCTCACCGCTATATACAAAATCTGTATTTTTTCTCGAGTAGGTATTTATTATTGTACAGGTTCGGCACCTGTCAATTTTTTAAAAATTGACAGGTGCCGAACCTGTGCAATAATAATTACCTACTCAAGAAAAATACAGATTTTGTATATAGCGGCGAGCAGGGTCGAATCCACAGGGACTGGGGATAATTCATTTCTTCTAGAGTCCAGAGTATGGGAGGTTCTTGGATTAAATGCTAACTAAATAAATCAAGTGCAGAAAATAATTGATTAAAAGAAATAATTAAGAAAAACTCTAGCCAAGGGTACACTTCAGAAATGGTTCAAGCACTGATCATTGATGCAGAAATAATTCCAACATTTAGCAATAGATTAGTTATAGTTGTCATGCACGCGATAAACAACCAACCCTTCCTTAATTTCTCGATAGCTAAGGTACGACCGTTAGCTATTTCTCTAACCAAAAAATAACCCTAGGTACGACCGTAGGATTTAATTTCTAGATTGCATTAATAATTAGAAAGGCCCAATCCTAACCAACAAACACGCTACGAGGGTTTGTTTAAATTAGATCATATGCTCCCCTGACATAAACCCAATTACGTCAGTTGCTACTGAGGTAGAGATAACGAACAATTACGGATTCAATTACCCCTATTTAGCAAAAATAGCCTATATGAATAATTAATTATTGCGCACTAATCAATCATACACAAGGCCATAGCAATTAAAATCAAGGAACATATAAATACCAATAAATGAAGAAAATAATTAAAACAGATTCGATCTCACAGTAATTGTCGAACCAAATCTTCAGTTGTCCCCTTGACTAGAATTAAGAGGTTAGTCCTCCATTAATGGAGAACAACCATGCGAAAGAGCTAAGCAAAAAGAAAACTAAAACTATGCTAAAAGCCTAAACTAAAACTATTGATTCCTAAACCTCTCCGTACGTTTTTCCCTTTTTAAAGCCAAAAGGAAGTCTAATGCTATCTCTAGTGGTCCCCACACCAAATTCAAAGTCTTGTACGTTTCTTTTCCTAGAGTCCAAAGACTCATGCTTCTTATCCGTGGTCCCCGCACATGTGGACTTCTTGTTCCAAGTCTCTTTACGTTGCTTTCTTTTAAAGCCCAAATGACTAGAATGCTTTCCACTAGCTTGTGGTCCCCCACCAATTCAAGGGTCCAAGAATTGAAGCCCTTAGAAGTCTCCCTATTTTCCATAAAGTCCTTCCTTTTTGATAATTTTCTGCTTCAATCCCTGAAATTGGGTCCAATACCAAATATAAGTAAATATTAATAATTAAAACAATATTTGGCAAGGATAACAGGGGAAATTAACAATAAAATTGCTAACAATTAACACCCTATCAATTCCCCCCACACCTAAATCATGCTTGCCCTCAAGCATGGGAACAACAATTGAACACCCAAATTTGACCATGGCGGTTACTCCAACTACCGTATTGTCAAGACACCAAGAAAATCATATATCAAGCGACACAGGTCAAGATCCAAGAAAAATCACCCCGGTTAGCATCTAAACTACCAACTCCTCCAATTTCAAAGCAAACTAATCTAAGAAAAAGGAATGGTTGCTCATATTTATCAGTAAATGGTTCATCTATTAACCAAAATCTCGACATTAAGATCACAAATAGGCAAGCTGACTTATACACATACTAACACAATCTTTATTTTATTTTTTTCTTTTTGTTTTGTTTTTGTTTCTTTTCCTTTTCTCTTTTTTTTTTTTTGAATAACAAAAGACTTAGTCTATAGCCCTTAG